TGCCCCATGTGAAGAGCTTTTCCCGCGCTATGTCACTCCTCTGCTAAGCGCTTCTCACGGGCGACTCCAATCACTGCACCCTCATCGTTTTCACCCTTTGCATCATATCTATCGCTATTTATTCGCTTCTCGCCTCGTACCCTTGCTCGCATGGAAATTGGAAAAGGAGGAGTAATAATCGTTCTTTCGCGAGAACTTCTCTTACACAATGCGCCACATCCTGTTGGCACCCCAATTGTATAGTACTAGACGTATGCCGGACCAGACGCCACATTCGTTCATACCCCAAATCTCGCAGTCCTACATTCCGACTAACCTTAACTTGTATAATTTCCCTGATTTCAGCATTCACACTCTGTAATGTTTTGCGTCACATTTTGTATTCCTTGTTCCTCGTATTCTTTTTCTTGCTGCACCATGTTTTCCCCTACACTCAATCATCAATCGATCGCTCGAAGTAATATAGCTATCTTTTGCATGCAGAAATCTTTCAAAAACTGTAATGGAAGAGTCGAACTGTTCCAATCACTTGATTATCTTCTCATCCATTCATTCAATCCCCGCGTGACTTTACAGTTTCGCCCATTTTAATACTTGTTCTATTGTAATCTAAAAGTACAGTAACTAGTGTATGTCCAGGATTACAGAATTCGGTAAAGTACGTTATAAGGAAAAAATATTCAAGGAATAATTTAAATCATCAAACGGCGTGCGTAATATTTCTACGGACCTTTCCGAGCTAGGAAGCCTCCAGGAGGTAACGCTCTGCCTCAGCGTCAAGCCAATTTCCGCGAGGCGAAGCCGCAGAAGTAGACGAAGTTTTACTACTACTTAGGCGCGATGTCCCCCTTCGCCTTTTCTTCGGACCACCAATGTCACCGGTATACGTCTGTCCAGTTTCGAGCCCCGCGAGTTGCTTGATCTCTCCGAACTCTGTTGTTGCCTGTGCGCGTAGGAAGTTGGCGCTTGAGGCACGGTGGATGAGACAATCTGGTTTGACGTAGCCTTCGAGTGTGCCAACCAGTGGGATACTCTCGTCTGATTGCATTGGTCGACCGTCGCGCCAGAGAGACCCGCCGTTTGTCTTCTCGAGGGCTTTGATGATGTTGAGGGATTCACCGGGAGGGATGGGCGTTGGTTGAGAGGGCGTAACGCAGGGAAGGTCGACCTCCTTCCTAAGTACGTGATCGACGTCTACAGCGGAGAAGAACGCAACGCCCTGGGGGAGATCGTCCATACCGAGTTTGTACGCAAATAGGCAGCGAGTCCAAAGGTTTGCGATTTGCAGTGCAAGAGCGGCGCGGTATTTGTCTTCCTCCCTAACGAGATAACGTAGCTCGTCATGTACGGACATAAGGTAACGAGCCTTGATGTCGTACTTTGCAATAAGGTGCTCCATTGAAACGATGAGCAGATGCAAGTAATCCACACCAGAGGACTGCACAACCCAATTAATGCGAGAGGTCATGTAATCCGTACCGAAGCCCGCAGGTAGGTACTCTTTTGAAAGAGCGTAGGTGACACCGCAACCCAACGCAGGTGTTCGAGGTTTATCAGACATGGCGATTTCCTCGAGCTTGTTGAAGACATAACTCTCGCTCCCACCGAACCAGAACTTGCGACCGAAGATATCTGTTCTGTGAGTGTTCTTGCCCTTGGTAGAAGCATAGAGCTTTTCTGCCTGCTGCTGCGCAATGTCGGGGAGCATGTTGGGGTTGGACTGTAGCAAGAGAAGAATTGCATGCCGCATGCCGGCACCATAGATACGAGAATAGTTGAAAACCTTTGCCTGGTCACGGGAAATACCAAGGATACTCGCAGTCTTGGAATGCAAGTCAGTCCCTGCAGCTTTTGTCCCCTCAAGCGTCATCCAACCTAACGCCGTCGCGCCATGCAGACCAAACTGTGCATCACCCATAGCACTTGAGATCCACAGTTCCTCTGAATCTACATCAGCCCCGACAATCGCATAGCCCTTCGGTGCCCGGACCATCGCCTTCAACTCTGAACCAACCCGGTTCTTTTTGGCATTACTTGCAGTAAGCCAAGTCTTTTCGATAGCTCGGCGAGTAACGGCACCCATAGTGATGACCTGAGGAATGATCATCCCTACCTTCCCGTCCGGTTTCTCCGCCTTTACACCGAGCCTAACCTTGTCACTGTTCCATACGACCATTTGGTTCAGAATCCGATCGCGCGAGCTTATCCAGTAGCTGCACTGGGCATTCATATCGAGAGCGTCCTTCGTATCGCCTTCACGACTCGTAAGCGTCCCGTCTTGCGAGTACTTCATGAACGTCTTCCCAAAGGGGCTACCAACATTAGCAGATTCACCATCTTTATGAGGCAATTTGTAGAACGAATATCCATCTCGTAGCACTGCCTCTTGTAGATGCGCGTCAGCAGGATCATAAAAGTCTAATTTCTTTGATCGTGTCGCATATTGGGCGTCAGGGGCAACTCGGAATATCCAGCCATGCTCGCGCGAATGGAAGAGTGGCCAGCCTGACCAACTGAGACGTAGAAGCAAGGGGGCGAGACGGGAGCGGATGGTAAGATCCAGTGTGCCTGGCGGCATCCCTTTCTTTGGTTTCGCCAGATCCCAGTACCATTTGGGCCAGAGTACGGGCTCACTAACTTCCTCCACCACAGCATTGGCGGGTTCGGATCGAAGCCAGTTAAGCTGGCTTATCCATGGGTCGTCTACGAGATCACTCTCCTTCGCCAGGACGTCTAAGGCCAGTTTCATGATCTTCTTGGACAGTTTCTCGTCCTCCTCTCCGCTCGCAATCGCTTTCGCCATCTTGGGGTGGATACATGTCAGACGGCCACTCGCAAGTTCCTTGAGTCCAACAGTCTTTCCCATGATAGTGTGCACTCGTGCGTCACGATCATGTGGTCGCTTGACTTCACCGTTTTCGTCGGTATATGTCCAGCCTTCTTTTGAAGAATAAGAAAGTGGTCGACCGTTGAAGGCGAAACGGAAGAGAAAGGGAAGGATGTTGTTCTTGACGGAGGCGTTAAATGGGCCCTTTTCCGTTAAAGTTTCAAACCAGGCGGGTTTGTTAATCGCTGTCAAGGCGGCTTTACGGGTTGACTTTGACCTTGCCTGTTACCCAGTTAGAACTTTATTTCGTGATTGAGGAAACAAAGAAATACCTTTGGTTTAGTCGGCACGTCAATACCGCGCGACTTGCCAGCTTTCTTCGGAGTCCAGTCAAGTTGACTAAGCCAGACATCGTCCTTCCAGCGTTCTTCGTCCATTAGAAGACGCACATCTTCAGCAATTGAAATAAGACGCTTCTTAATCTTTTCGTTCAGTTCCCTGTAAATTCCTTCAGCGTTGCGTAGATAATTTTCCCATTGCTCATTCACAGTTAAGAAACTTGAACCCATCGTCATGACGCCAGCGAAAGATACAGGGCTAGGACATGCTTGGAGAAAGTCTGGGAAGACCTTCGTATACACTGCGTGTGTTATTTCGACGTCTGTTGCACAGTAATCCAGATAATCGTTAATGCCCTCAAAGATTTCCTCGCGTGAACGTGTCATGAAGTCATTGCGTATTTCTTTTCCAATGTCGATACCGCAGTGTAGCTTAGCGACATCTGCAAGCGAGTTTGCAGACGTGATATCTTCCCAGCGCTTTGAAGACGTTTCAGCTTCTGTGGATTCAGAGTCGTCAGCCACGAGCTGTGGCAAGCTCTCCTCGATCTCTTGCTGCAGGCGACGTAGTTCTGCACGCTTCACGGCATCCTCTTCCCCCGATTGTCGTTCCTGGGTCTCACGGAGTAAGTCCTTGGCAGCCTCGACGGCTTCCTCTTTGCGCTCCTTCTCTTCAGTCTTGTTTTTCCTGTATTTCATCCATGCTGGTCGCTGATGAGATGAAATACCTTTGACGGCGACGTGAAGAGACATCGTATCGATGAAACGTGAGTTAGTGCCTTTGACATGGTACTCCTCAAGAACCCTAGCACGATCATACGAAACATTGTGACCAACTATGATTCGATGACCCTTGGAATCACCAAGAGGAATGAGTTGCTGCGGATCTTCCGTCTTTCCGAGAAGCCAAGGCGAGATCCACGAGTACCAGTGAGTGGGAGACATAGCACACGCCATAATAGCATACTGGTGGTGATTTGGCATGGTTTCCACGTCAAAGGACAGCATTTCCTCTTCAGGTGCAGAGACAGTCTCGTAATAGCTTGATCCATCGTCTCGATGGTGATATTTTGTCCAACCAGAATGAATGTGCCAGAACTCCGGCTTAGGCGGTATTCTTATCTCTGCAAATTGTTTTGCGAGGCCAAGCCATGGCTCAGAAGCGGCATGGCCTATTCGATGGAAATGTTCGTCGATTGAAGACCCCTGAAGAGGTGGAAGTGTGAAGCCGGTGTTCGGTAATATTGATCCTTGAGTCGGGTCGAGGCCATGCGAGTCGAGGTGCTCACGGGCAAGATTGATATATTTCCTGTCTGGAGGCGGAAAAGTCACGCCTTTGAAGATCTGCGAGTGTATTTTCCTCGAAAGTAGCTGCACCCCGACTTCGTTGCGTTTTACTGCGGCGAACATAGGTTCAAGATAAACAAACCTGTAGGAAAAAATTAGAACCGATAACAGTACTCACCGACATCCTCGATGTCTTTTGGCGCTGAAACTTCAACTGCCTTCCCCTTCTTCGATCGATAAGCTTGCTCGCTGCTACCAACAGGCTGTCTGACTATTGGTTCCGAGCGTGGCTTCCTCTCGATTTGTTTGAGACTCTGTCGGACACTGCTGTTGTGAAAAGACCGTCGACCTGTTCTGCAATACGACGATCGACGTGCTATAACAAGCATTGCAACCAGGTGCTCTTGATGCACCTATATTATTGTTTTGCTTTTGTAATGCGACGTAAAGGACTAGCAAGACATGAGATTGAGCTGGTCGTCGTTGACGGTAAAGGCAGATTTTAGCATTAACCGCGTCTATCCGTGTGCAAATACGTCGATCTTCCGCGTTACCTCGTTAGGACAAACCAAGCCAAGCAACCAGTCTGCGACATGAAAATGCATTTATATTAGTTATAATTACTTTCTAAATGTGTACTGCTTTTTCCGGATAGTAATATTATGACTCCTGCACTTAACTCTGCCGACCAACTGAATTCTGCTTGCACGATCAACTCTTAGTGCACAAAGGATATGGCTTAACAGTATGAATCTAAATACTCTTACATTTGCAACAAGAGATACCTGTCTGAACTGAGATATGGACAATTTTATTCCATCGTTGACCTTCTTTTAATGTTATATTATTACAATAATTGTAATACTTAATCCACCCTTTGGCTGGAATTTGCCCTGTTTTATTACGTAACACGTGTTTTACATAATCTAGAATTACATTTACGACGGACGGAATTCTCGTAAAGGCTTTCTGTATTGCAGTCATGGTGCTGCCTCGCTTCAGAGCGACATCCGGTCGCATTCATCTTTTCAACTTATCTCCTGCACATAACTCTCAGAAAAATGTATGTGTCCAGTACCGATTGAAAAATTATATGTTTGCACTTCACCCGCTGACGGTTGTTTGTAGCAAAAACGCGTCGGTCGTGGTGACGGTTCCAAGCGTGGTGGAACCTCTGGGAAGGGTAACAAGGGTCAGAAAGCGCGTTCTGGTAATGGCAAACCGAGGCTCGGGTTTGAGGGAGGACAAACGACTATCTTGAAGCGGATCCCCAAGAAGGGGTTTACGAACCCGTGCGTCCTGTCTTCGCGCATTAGTTTCGACTTGTTCGACGTTGTTGACGTTTATTTGGCCTGTTTTTCATAGTTCGGAGAAGACTTGGGCACCCATCAACCTTGACCGTTTGCAGCACTGGATAGACCAAGGTCGGATTACTTCGACACCGGAGAAGCCGATTACAGCTCGAGAGCTCTTGCTGAGCGGTTGCGTTCATAACGTGCACGATGGTATAAAGCTTCTTGGAGACGTAAGACCTTCTTCTTTATGCCCATGGATATATATTTAAGGTCTTACTATCTACCTCCAGGGAGCAGAACAGTTGAAAACACCTATACACATCGTACCTTCCCGCGCATCCCAGTCTGCCATCAAGGCAGTTGAAAAGCTTGGAGGGACGGTGTTCTGCAAGTATTATAATGCACTCTCGCTTCGAGACTGTATGAAGGGAAGAACAGACCGATTAGATGCTGCGCCAACTCGTAGGGAGGACATTCGTATGTCTGGGCTTTTTGTGGACTTAACGGAACTTATGACTGACGTTTCATTTCAGAGTGGTATATGAACTGGCGTAATCGGGGCTATCTATCATCTCCTGCGCTAGCAAAGAACCCGCTGGTGAATAGTCGATGGAAGGCTGTCGCGGAGCAATTGAGCAGATACAAGACTGAGGAGTTTGAGAAACCTCGTCGATAATTACTAGATATTGCTAATTATGCTACTAATATATACGCATCAATTCTTTATCATGCAAATACATCAAACGACTACTCTGCTCCAGAATTATCGCGAGGTGGTGAATCAGCATCCATGCGGTCAGGGGAAATGCTACGCGTTGGCGATAGGTAGGGTGAACGAGAGCCAGACTTCGAGCGCGAACGACTCCGTGAAACGTAGCGTGATCCAGCATCTGAGGCCGATCCACTTCGCCTGCTTGGTGACCGACTAACATATCTTCTTTCTCCGCTCATGCTCCTGCTGCGGCTTCGACTTGAACGAGATCTGGAACCTGATCTCTCACTCCCACTTCGACTTCTACTTCGACCTCGGTCACTCTTGCCTTCCATTGCATCCAACAGTAAGCTTTTTCGAGGAGCAATCTCTCCGTTCTCTTCTAGTACTTCTCTTTTGATGATTCGCGGTAGGATTATGTCGCAAACGCGTTCGTCGTGTAGAAGTTGGTCCGCGAATTCGTCCATATACGTGAGCGTGTAGCCGCCTGCGTTTTCGTTAACCATATGCAGACATATACACTAGTGTAGAGAGCTTACCAACATGCCGTAATCGTAGCTTTCTGTAGTCTTTTAGAAGAGGCTCGAGGATCTCATATACCTCTACAGCTCGGAACGTCATGCGTATGTACATAGCTGCCAGGGCTCTCAAGTATCTACCAGTCACAAACATGTCAATTCTCGTGTCTCATAGCGAATGAGGGCGGCAGAAAAACGCACTTGAATTCATCCACTTGTAAATATTCAATCAAAATCTCCTTCTCCGGCTGAATTTGCAAGAGCTTGAGGAGCAAACACATGAACTCCGTCGGGTTGTTGTTCCCATACACGCCGCCTATGGAATTCAACTCGATCGCGCGGTCAATAAGCGATTCAGCTTTCAAAGTAAAGCAAAGCAAAGATCTTGTAAGTCCTAAAGGTCGACAAAGAAGAAGTTAGTAAACGCACCTGTGAGCGCGAAACATCTCTCCTTCCAATACTGACATTCGTAAATACGGTTCCTGATGACGGTTTCGACTAGAAACTAAGTGTACTTAGCTCCTGTAGCATAGCAAGGGTCTGAAAGTAGACTTACCTGTGGATTTTGACCATGAATGGCCAGAGCACCTTTAATGGTTGTATTTGCCATGGTGGTGGTTTTTGAGAGAGTCTATTGTGGCTCACGTGCAGCGCGCACCTTGCTTCTTACTCACCTCACCAAATGCCACTACATGCAGCTTTCTCTTCAATCGTTAATGAATGTTGCTATTGCATCTACGTAAAGGCAATTCCTTCCAACTTACAACCTGAAGGGAAAAAGCTATTTTGAACTAATTGTCTGAGTCCATAAGTCCACCTCCCTACTTAAATCAGCCTGTCATCAACATTCTGCGAGACCCATAGTGATCAAATCGTTTCCTGCCTATAGGACATAAGACTGTGAGTAATGTCTTACATCGTAAAATGCTAGACACGCTGATACTTACCTTTACGAAGAAGTAATCACCTGTAAAATAGAAGGGTGTCTATAAATTATCTTATGTCACTTTCCTTTATCGAGATCATACCATATACAGTGCCTGTATCTTGGTTTGGCGGGGATGCATGCCCATTGACGGTACCGTTGGCAAGGACGCTCTGCCAATCGGGACGCCAAGCTAGCTTCGTGATGTTATCCAAGAGCTACAACCATAATCACACGAACGCGTCGGTTCACACTTTCTTCGAGGAATTAGAATGAACATACCGATATGGCGAAATCTGTCCATGCCCGGGCCCCTTCCCAATTGCCCAGGTCTTCTTCAATGCGTGAGAGGAGAAGCAATCCAGTTGCAGCTATAGTCGCTGCTGAACTATCTGCTGGACGGGGTGGTGGCACAGTTGGCGCGTCAAAGTCCCTAAGGTGCTCGTATATTTAACAGTCGAACTCACTAAGCTAAAGGTAACGTACCATGGGACAATACCGTCTGTGGGCATTGAGTTCTTAAAGAACACTGCCATACGTCTTGAGGTCTCCAAGTATCGTTCAAGACCAGTATTCTTATACACTACAATCGTCAGGACCATACGTGAGTGATTCATTTTATGAGACAGAGTAATGACTAACTTGCTGCAAAACCGTATATTCCCCATGCTTGCCCGCGGGTCCAGGTGCTGTTGTCGGCATATCCTTGTGCTGTGCGCCTTCGAATAACCTCTCCTGTTGTTGAGTTGTACTCCACAACATGAAAGGAGGATCCTAGAAATCTGTGCTGAGATGTCGACCATGGAATGGGAAACAAGACGCTGCCGCACCATCTGGTCGAATATGGTTTACCATCGTTTTATCGGCGTGACTTATAGCAATGTCTCGAAGGGTATCATTTCCTGTCAACTCGGCCGAAATGAACAAGAGCTAATGGTTTCTGTTTAGCATGTCGGCACAACTGAAGTTCACTGGTGTGCCTCACCTCAAGGTTCATCATATTGTCGATTATGACCTGACGTAAACGAGGGAGTTAATTCAAGGATGCAGCAGGAACACCATATAAGTCAGTACCTACCTGGAAGTCGGTCGGATCGGTCGTATCCCAGCTCCTCGTACATCCCACAATAGGGCTGAAGCGCGATGCAAGCTGATTCGCTAATGTGTTGACAACGTCGATTACAAAGTCATTCCGTGAATCCCTGATTGTTGCAAGTCGCCATCCTACGCTAGTTTTGTATTCATTCATCTAAATTCACTCACAACCGTAATTCCTCCTGAAACGGATAGCTAACAAACCCAACATCATGTTGCCAAGTATTGTCCTTGAGAAATGGTAATACCCCTTCGCTCCACTGTCTTCCTAGACCCAACCAATCAACCGACTGGTCGAACGAATACGGCGAACATAGATATTGCCGAAGGTTTAGTTGGTACAAAGCAGCGGGGAAGAAGCCCGCCGTCCATTGGTTGGCAGTAAAGTATTGCCAATCTCCTTCAATGCTGTCGGTGTATTGAGGATATCCTGGTGAGGAAAGGGAGAAGTTGGTTGCCATTGTAAAGAATTTCTTGCTAACAAGAGGAGAGTAAAGTTCTCTTGGCAGTCTTGCTGCAAGAGCTGAAGCAAGTCCAAAGATGACTACAAGAACCTGAGCAATCTTATGCGTCATTGATGCTACTCCAGAATCAGATGTCGAGGGCGAACGCAGGAGGTACCTTCTTGAGCAGGCACAATGAATATTGCTAGGCAAGTTCACGAATTTATACTCAATTAGCATCCTTATATATTATCACCACAGTCTAAGCATTCTAGCTATCAGCCGGGTGGCATGATCAGCCTGAACCTCGCCAAAAGTACAAGTCTGTATTGAAAATGGTTCTTCTGGGCCGATAACCGCGGCTTTTCTAGTATTCTCAATAGTATTTCCGATTTTCAAAATAGTACACATGACCATGTTTTTCCTCCTTCTCTTTGATTGATTTAATTAGCAGACATGTGCTTTGTTATTACTATTGTCTTGGCAGCATGATTTGACGCATACAATAATTGATATCCTGATGAAACATATAACGAAGTAGATGAACCTATGGGTTGGATTCATCCGTACTGCATAAACCTATAGTATTGTTTATCTAGTACACTATGTACTCATTATGAAAGTGATTGGCTTTTGTAGAAACCTTAATAACATTTCATTTTTCTTGGACTCTTCAAAACCTGTGTAATATTGTGGTTTGCTAGCATGAATAAATAAATAAATATTTCAACAGTACTATGTATGGCAGCACAAGACAATAGTAGAATATATAACAAAGACATTGTAAATGACCAAGAGAAGTGGACTGGGGCAATTCGAATAATCCAGGAAGACGTTATGGGTGTGTAAATAAACTAGGGGGGCGTAATTCCTGGCCGTTATCAGGGGAGAATGACACGCATTTATCATTAAGCACTCAAGCATTGTAGACTACATCACAAAAAAGTCTTAAGTATTGTATTCACTTGTAATCCTATACATTTTGTACCTTTTATAAAATTTGTCAATGTTAATATAATCTTCATAGGGGGTTAAGCAATGATAGTACAATGTTAAATAAGTAAACAAGAATACTTTTAAAACTTGGCAATTACAATTATAATTGTGTAAATTGTCAAGTTATACAAGTGATTATAATATACTTCCTAAGATTACAAGGTTAAGACATACTTATTAATTTGTGACAGTATAATATCTACTTATAATGCTTATAAGCCATTACAAGCATTTGAATCACTTCCTTTTGCTTTGGATACAATTTTTTATCAAATAATTTATAAAATATAATTATATTTAATTATTTAATACAAAATAATAAATGATACATTATTTCTACAGTTCTGACCCTACACTACTAGCAGCCT